TGTCCTCTGATAAACGAAAGTTTAAAGTAGTGTATGACCTAACGTATTCAAATGTTGATAAAACTATATATAAAGAATATTGTCCTCTGATAAACGAAAGTTTAAAGTAGTGTATGACCTAACGTATTCAAATGTTGATAAAACTATATATAAAGAATATTGTCCTCTGATGAACGAAAGTTTAAATATAGTGTATGACCTAACGTATTCAAATGTTGATAAAACTATATATAAAGAATATTGTCCTCTGATGAACGAAAGGTTAAATATAGTGTATGACCTAACGTATTCAGATGTTGATAAAACTCTGTATAAAACATATTAAGAATACAACTCTACATAAAATCTGTATAAAAATTATATTTATCTGATGGCTTGGGTACAAGTGAAAATATGTCATTCAGAGAACAGGGATAATTTAACTGTTTATGTTCTTTAAAAGAACAGAGGCGGTTTGATATTTTATGATCTTTAGAATGTGTGATATCCAGAAAGTTCTCTTTGTTTGCTAACTGTTTCACTTCCTAAAAGTCAAGGAGTTGTGAAAAAAGTTTTCTAGTCTAAGACTGGAATATAAAAAACTGGGTCAGATCTCAGAGCTAACTCAAGTGTTTAAAATGCAAGGAAGTCTGTAGAACTTTTTGACTATATTTAGAGAAACTCACTGAATAAGTAACTCTGACTGCCTTAGTCAAGCTATATCTTCTATATACTACTACCAGGAGTTAAACTGAAAAAAAACTAACATAACTCTGACTGCCTTAGTCAAGCTATATCTTCTATATACTACTACCAGGAGTTAAACTAGAAAAAAAAACTAACATAACTCTGGCTGCTTTGGTCAAGCTATATCTTCTATATACTACTGCCAGGAGTTAAACTAAAAAACAACTAACATAACTCTGGCTGCCTTAGTCAAGCTATATCTTCTATATACTACTGCCAGGAGTTAAACTGAAAAAAAAACTAACATAACTCTGGCTGCTTTGGTCAAGCTATATCTTCTATATACTACTACCAGGAGTTAACTAAAAAAAAAAAAAAACTAGCATAACTTTCGCTGCTTTGGTCAAGCTATGTCTTCTATATACTATTGTCAGGAGTTAAACTTTAAAAAACAATACTAACAATTATTAGATGATCATTTTGGGGATGTCTCTGTCTGTTCTATTCCACGACGTTAATATGTCAACTTACAGTGTGTATAAGGGTACGCCAGCTCGATAATTTTTCTTACTGTTAGTGTATACACTCCCTGCAGTATAGAGGGCATTCCGTCTCTGTCGAGCCGTTTCTTTACTCGAAGCGATACGCTGGAGGCGATCTTGTAGTCGATGTAGAAACGTTCTTCTGAATTATCTTCTGTTATAAGGTACGAGAGCTGGAGGGTTAACAGATAATGTTTATATAAAATCATGGGATATAAGGGTTAACAGGTAATATATATATATATATATATATATCACAAG